ACTTTAATTATCGGCATATTATTATCGACATAGTTGAGAGGGAATACTCAATTGCCTCTAAAAGTTAAGGCGGATTTGACGAGACTCGCGAAAGGAAAAAAAAAAAAAAGTAATTTTCAGGTGAACTATACATACCTTCGTCTTAATTAATGTACATTTATACATCTCACTATAAAATAGATTCAGTCGTAATCGATAAACTATACATACGGCAGAATAAGGTGCGCTCGTTATCGGCGCACGACGAACGAGTCGATGACCACTGCCAAAATTGTCCATCGTATATTGTGATAAGACAGGTACCCTCGCTCTTCTTGGTACGAGATACACAGGACGGTATGTAAGTATTTATTTTAAGGACTTTCTAAGAGAAATTCCATCGATCTGCGAATTAACGCGAATCAATTGTCTCACGCTAACAACGATTCTTGATATAAGACGTTTCGTTTATGGAGTTTCGTATACTCTAAATTTATTTTTGCCCCATTGAAAATCAATTAACAAATTACAATTATTATAATTATAACAAAATAGAATATATAGAATTGATATATAAAATTAATAGCCATTCGAAGTGGCAATCTCAGTTGAATTTGGACTTTGGCTATCAATTTCCTACATTCTTTTGGACAAATATATTTTGAACACAAATGGAAAATGTTAAATATTTTAACATAAATATTTCTTGGTTGGTTAATATGAATCCCAGAGTCAACACTCTGAAATATAATTAACAATTAACATATTAAAATGTTCTTAAAATATTTTTCTCCTTGATTTAGCAAAATGATTTTTTTTTATCGAAAGTTACATTTATTTCAATATATTAAGCAAATATTTTGCTCTTTTTTTTCCTTTTTTATCTATTATTCGCTCTTAATGTTTAAACAATTAATTATTCGACAGGTCGCTGGAATCGCGCATTAAATCAGTGCGAAGTATATTTGGTATTTGCTTTGGAAAGGATTTTACTGTGGAAATATATGTTTTTTTGCTACTTCATACAGAATAAATATCGCAGAAGATTTTCGCAATATAGCCATAATTCATAATATTTAAATTAATTTCGATAAATTAAATTTGTTAAATCCAGTGATGATTAATAATACTTTAATACTATCCTATGTTGTGTTTTTTTTTAATCCTATCGACGGAAAATAACAGGGATGAAAAGCATATACTGGAAACGAAAATTTAATGTCCTTCGAAAGTTAGAGCGATACTCTAATAATTTTCCATGGTTTCAAATGAAGCTGATTTTTCTGTCTTATGATTGTAATGAAATGAATAAGTGAATATAGATGTAATATATTTGGATACTCAAGATTATTTTATACTTGAATTAATGAAATAATAATTTTATCTAATTAATACCCAAATGAATTAGTTTTATTGATTAAGTTTTTGACAAAACAATTTATTCATGCTAATTAAAAAGACATGGTATATACTATTAAATTAAAATGTGTAAATAAATATTTCAATTTTAAAAATAAGTTGTTTATATTTAATTTTATGATTATAATTATTTTATGATGTCAATTACGTTTAGATTAATTTCGCCATTCTTATCATATCTTAGTTTTAGAACGTATATAATTACTTACATTTGCACAAATCTGACATGTTTAATGAAACAATATGAGTTTATAATTACACTTCGCTCGTATTTCTTAGGAACATTAAAATTGCCGTTTGGAGTAAATGCTTGCAAATTGCAAATTTCATTATTCTCGATATTAATTGGAATGTGAAATTCGGTACGTTTTAAGTTCATTTATATTATTTTTCGATTATTTTTGTTAATAATCTTGATTTCAATCTGAATGGTAATGCTTCAAGTATTTTTCAAATTATGCCTTTCTTTAAAATTCTTTTGTTAAATAGCAGCATATTTTCGTCAACAAAAACAATATTCTATATCATATAATGTACACTATTCTTTTTTTGTCTTTTCTATCTACAGTTATACCAGTGTGTAAATAACCAGATGAAAATTAAGGGAATCATACATTATTCAAATGTTTTTACACTTATCACAGGGATGCAGAACAAACATAGCACATTCTAAAAAGCTGGTCGAAATATTTAATATATTAAAAATTATTTCTCCGCTAAACTTAAGAGATAGTATCTCATTGGTTTTTAAATCTCTTCACGATAATACCATGTTTACCAAATTCACTAAGTGATATTTAGGACTCTCGATCGTTGGCACTTTACGCTCTGTTTGGTGTGCGCACAAATTTTTCGTAACGCATCTCAGCAAGATGCTACCTCAAAGTAGGCAAGTCGCATTTTTTTCTCGTGTCTGTCCTCCCAACTGCTTAAATCTTATCTTTGTCAAAAATATGAACGGCGCGTCTTACCGGAGTCCTTAAAGTTACCGCGCGTGCAAATGGACGCCGATGAGTTCGCGTGGCCGCGTGGAAACTGGGGCCCGCGAGAAAAAAATTTGGACGCTCCCTGAATGGCTTGTCGTGTCTCCGTGTTGACGAGCGGGCGGCACTCTATATTTACACTTTCCGCCAGGCCGATGACGGGAGGAGACGGCGGTTTAGTAAAGGTTCGCAGTTTTCAGCGGTAGCGGGTCGAGAAGATACGGCGGCAGGGCCGCCGAGAAGGGCCTGGGACTGCAGGAGCCCCAGGTGCCGCTGCCGCCGCCGCCGCTGCTTCCCCGGGCGTTCGGCGAGCCGCCGTCGCCTGTGCCGTCCGTGTGCTTCACGTTCACCAGGCTCTGATTGGCGATCGGCTTGATCTCGTTCGACGACAGCACGCTGTTTGAGCTGCCCGGTGGCGTTGCCGGACTCCTCGGCGAACGTCCCTCCGCCTTCACGGTGCCGGCTACGGGGCTGGACGCGCCGCTGTCCACCCCGATGCCGCTCTGCGACGTCGACTTCTGCTGAGCCAGCCTCTCCTGTTTGCGAAACTTCGCGCGCCGGTTCTGGAACCATACCTGGAACATTAACGCGAAGAACCGACGGCGTTAGAACGTCTTGTTCTTTCGTCCTCTTCCTTGGCGATTTAAATGTACAATTGTTGAAAGATAAAACTGTGAAAGGATAATGATATTCATATTCACTATGGTGTGATATTTCTTTAAGATATGGTTATATTAATATTGTTTTAGCCATTTAAATATTTTTCCTTTATATATAATTTATGGACAAGATTGTAATATAGTGACGCGAAAATTGCTAAAGTGTAGTAAAGTTAAATTATGCCTGCTGATACGCGAATAAAGTTATTTTAATTAAAATTTATATCATATAAATGTATATCTATTTCTAACGAAAGAAACTAAATAAAAATCGAGAGCATATGAGCATATGAATATACTGCTGCTAAATCTGTAATGAATTTCTCATAATTACATATTCATGTTTATATTATTGATGTTTCTTGGTCAGAATATTTATTCATAATTATACAAATTACTTTTTGGTACAAAAGTAATGATAATTATTTATGCTCGGAAAAATAAAAATGGTTATGAGGAATTTAAATCGAGCATAATAATAATGTGATTTTGATACAGCAATTATAATGTCTTTTATAAATTAATTAATTCATTTTTTATTTATAGAATGGAAGTTTAAAATTGCAGAAGACGTTTATCGTTTCGTATAATTTTAAATACATAATTGATGTTTGTAATATTCGGATTCTTTTATCATTAAAGATAATTAATGTCAAATAATTATTAATTTACTTAGATGAATTTACTGGAATGAGTTAAAATCTGTGCTAAGAATTCAATTAAAGTTTAAGTTTGAGATATATAGGAAAATGGAAAATATTACGTTTCTACATCGCAAAACCGAGAAATCGTTGCGCGAAGCGCGTTCGAAGAGAGTTCGGCGTCAGAGCCTCGTCAGAGCAAAACGGCGAGGCCGGCCGTTCGGCGCGCTCGTAATTGGCCCTAGCCGGCCAAATGAAATATTTAACGAATAAAATAAACAGACACCTGCGGTGACCTGCATGTTAAAGTAGCGGATTTATTTGCTTTAGCGTTTATCTGACCGGCGGTGCTGCCGCTCATCCACCCTTTTCCCCTTCGTCCCTCTATCTCGCCGCTCTGCCCCCACCGTGTCCCCCGTACTCCCTTACGGCGCGGCGAACTCCCCTTCAATCTCCGTCCCTCCTCGTCACTCCCTAAACCGTTCGTTCCTCAACGTGTGCGCACGTGAATCCCACCCCCGGATTTTCCAGGGGCGGCTACGTTCAGAGCTTGTAGGACGTAACTGCTCGAGCTGTCGGTTGTTGGAGCTAGGGGAGACTGCACGGGGGTTAGAAGGGACGCTAGATGGGCGGCGGAGGGTGGCACCGTGGCGACGGCGGCGGCGACGGGAGGCGACGGCGGGAGCGCAGGACACCATGATGAACGTGATTGCCCTTTCCGGCTGGCAAACACTGGGGCTATTGGATTTTTATCAGCTGCTGCTGTGCTGCTGCTGCCGGTTGTCGCGCGCCGGTTGCGCAACCGGCGTGACGATTTTTCGCGAAATTCGAATCGTAACTACGCGACGAACGCCGCGAGCCCCCTCGCGCGCTAATTAATCCGAAATTGATTACACCTGGCATCGCGTTTCTTCGTGATCTGCCGTTGACTGAAAAAGGGGTAAAAAAAAACAACATAAAAAAAAAGCGAGACGCGAAATCAAGTTTGGCCAGGAAGAAAGATCAATTTAGTTTTCAAATATAAATAAGAGATTCTGTCTTTTAAAAAGTAATGACGGAATTATTGAAAAGTTTTAACGTTAATTTCAATAAATGTGGTATTGGGTACATCTTAACAATTGTGTATTTGATAATAATATATATATATATATATATATATATATACTTAATTTCTATGTACTCAGATTTATCCGAGAGTGAAAGAAAAAAGAAATAACAGAAGATTTTATTGATTTTTAATTAATTTTCTTATAAAAAAATCGATATCATTGTTGTTCATTTTTTTCGAAAGTTGTCTCGCGATTATCGACTATCGACTAAATGTACTAGATACGTGCCAAAGACAACTATACTAATAATTCGTATTTGGCCACGGACCAAACCTCGAGCAGACCTCGTAGCATGTGTGCCGTTGTTTGCCGAAGTGACAACGACGACGACGAGGCGAATTAGGGTGAGAGAGCGCGTTCACGCGCGCATGTAGCGTTAATGTTAAACAAATACACTGCGCCAAAATAAAGTGCAACAAGGCATATCGACAGATGTCCAGCACCTTCTGGATAAATATTTAATCACCTCTTTATACAGGAGCTGTACGGGAATTCTACCCTCCGCTCTCTTCCAATCATGCGTTTCAATACTTGTCCGCATGCGCGGATACGATTCCTTTGATATATTTTATTATTTTATTGTTTTCTCAAATTTTAATTATGTAATTTTTTTAATTACTAATTATTAAGCAAAATTATTTTATTTTTAATAAAAGTTTAATAAAAATTCTGCATTTTGTTTCTTAACATTTCTCGCTAACGCGTTCGAATAATATTTTCAATTTTGCATTTTGCATTATAATTAAATAAATAGATAAAAATGTAACATAATTAATTTTAGATAACTTTTTTTCATTAAATATTACAATTCGATATTCAATATGTATACAATATGCTTCTCATTTTCAATTTTTATTAAACTATTACGTGTAGTTTTTCTTTAACTGAAATAATATTATAATATTTGTCTTCAATTAAATTAATATTATAATCATATCTTAATTTTAAATCAACCTTTTTAACTTTCTATTATTAAAATAATTATTAATATTATTATTAAGATAAGACATAAGACATTCAATTACATTGCAAAATTAATAAATTAATAAATTTATATAAATTTATATAAATATATATAAATTTTTTTATTTAGAACAAATTGGATTTTCATCATTTTTAATTGATCGTATTTATTTAATTATATAAAAGTCGTTGGTTATTTAAATAATAGATATATGTAATATAATAGCTATGAAGACAGGATCCAATAATATAATATATTAATATTTTTTTACGTTAACTTACGTATTTTCAAATATATTATTGCCAACCCTTAATTTAGATAAAATAGAGTATTTTTATAATAGTAGTTTTTGTACTTAATATTATTTAATCAAGTCGCAGCAACATCTGTATTAATGTCGATAGTTAAAGTAAATATCAAAGCATTAGGAATTCTACAGAAGCATCGTACGATGGTGCAATTTGCGCTACGCTTATCCGTTTGATTCACCCTATGTTTAGGCTTCGTCGTGATTTTCCCTTCTCGAACCAGTTAACCGCGGATTTCACTTGGTTGCTTTCTGACCCTGGGTCTAATTTGGTATCGGCAAGATATATTTCGCAATACGATTATTTCGATACTATCTGCCAATATAATTTAAACGTGTACGCAAAGTTTAGAAATGATAAGCATATTCTATATTTATAATCTATAATGTTAATAAATTTTTCTAATAAAATTTTAATTTTACATTAAATATTAAAATTAAATAAAAAATTGTAGAAAAATAATACGTAAACAAATTTTCGCTAAAAAATATTGTTTGCAAATTAATTCAATACCTTGCAGATAAGATAAAGTATACGAGATTAAATTTTCTTCATTCATGTATAAATTTATCAAATATATAATATCTAATGCTACACGAAAATTTAACTTCAAAATTTTGTCATAATAATTTATTAATTTTTATAAATTTTAAACAAATGTATCACTTTATTTTAATATTTTAAAAAAATTTATTGTAAAATGCAGTAAAATGATTTCGTTTCGTATAATTAAAAGAAATATTAATTTTAAAAAGTATACTTATATTATATTTTTCCTCTCTTTCTCTCTCTCTCTCTCTTCTCTCTCTCTTCTTC